TTTTTTTTTGGGCGGGTGGGGGGTGGGATACGGAGTCTTGCTCTGTTGCCCAGGCTGGGGTGCAATGGTACGATCTCGGCTTACTGCAACTTCCACCTCCTGGGTTTAAGCGATTCTCCTGCCTCAGCCTCTGGAGTAGCTGGGATTACAGGTGTGCACCACCACACCCAGCTAATTTTTGTATTTTTAGTAGAGACGGGGTTTCACTATGTTGGCCATGCTGGTCTCCAGCTCCCAACCTCAAGTGATCATCTACCCGCCTCAGCTCCCAAAGGACTGGGATTACAGGCATGAGCCATTGTGCCTGGCCTGGGAAAAGAGCCTTCTAGGCAGTGGGAATGGCATATGCAAAGGTCCTAGGTCAGAAGTGTTCCTGGACTTGGGTTTTCTAACCTTAGCATGGTTGATATTTTGGGCTGAAACTTCATTGTTGGGTTCTGTCTTGTGCATCGTGGGATGTTTAGCAGACCCCATCTCTACCCACTAGATGCCAGCAGCATCTCCTACCAGTTGTGACGTCCAAAAATATCTAGATCTTGCCAAATCACTCTTGGGGGATACAGTGACCTCCAGTTGAGAACCACTGATTTACTGTGTTCCAGAAACAGCAAGGAGGTCAGCCCAGCCAAGAAAGCAGCTGAGGCAAAGAGTGGAGGGAGCCGGGACATTGTTCATGATCATCAGGGCTTAGGCTTTGACCCTGAGTGAAATGGGAGTGCTGACGGGTTTAGCTGGAAAGTGTTAAGAGTTGACTTGGGTTTTTCGTTTGTTTGTTTTTTGAGATGGAGTCTTGCTCTGTTCCAGGCTGGAGTGAAGTGGCGTGCTCCTCACTGTAACCTCCACCTCTTGGTTCAACCAATTCTCCTGCCTCAACCTCCCAAGTAGCTGGGACTATAGGCATGTGCCACCACACCCAGCTAATTTTTGTATTTTTAGTAGTGATGAAGTTTCTCCATATTGGTCAGACTGGTCTAAGACTCACAACCTCAGGTGATCTGCCCACCACGGCCTCCCAAAGTACTGGGATTACAGGTGTGAGTCACTGCTGAGTTGGGTTTTAACAAATCCTTCTGGTCACAGGGTGGAGGATGGGCTGTGGGACATAGACAGGAGTGGGGCGGGACCAAGAGCAGGGGGAGGGAGGGGAGGAAAGAGCCTATTTATTACAAGAGCCAAGGCAGGAGGCCAGGCTGGTGAAACCCTCAGGCTACTGCCAACTGTGGGTGGACATGCATACATGTGTGTTCATGGTGTGCGTGTATGCACACATGCATGCATGTGAGCATGGATTGCTTGGGTATGCACATGCACTTGTGTGTGGATATGTGCCCACATTGTGTTGCTGTGCACGCTAGCATGCTTGTATGAGTGTGCAAATGTGCATGCATGTGTGCACGCTGTGTGTATGTGTGTGCACATGCACAGATATGCACAGGATGGTTGCTCAAATAGCCAGACAAGGACTAGGAAAAGAACAGCCCCACAGGTGCTCTTAGACTCCCATAGCAAGAAAGCTCGGCTCCATCTGGGGCTCACCCTTCCTCAGAGATGCGGGCTGGGCCCTAACCAAGGTCATGTCTCCTTTCTTGCATTGAAAGAATAAACCTCACCCTGCCCCTGGGCTGTTTCCTGGCTGTATTTGGTCCAGTAGTGACAGGAAAGTCCTCCCTGCTATCCGTGCTCTTTGGGAAGCTGTCAGGTGGAGGGGTTTGTGAGCATGAAGGTGATGGCACCCCCTGTCTGCTAGGATATCCCCCTCATCCTGAAAGTCCCCCTTCCACTGTGCCTTTCCATCCCTCCCCATCTCAGCCAAGTTCACTTTCATTCATTCTCTCCACCACCCACCCACCACCGAGAGCCAAGCTCCCGCTGCTCCTCAAAACCTGTCATACCTCTGTCCCCATCATCCTTCTGTGACCAAAGTAAGTTGTGTTTTAATTTTCAGTGGCCTGCATGTTCCAGGAGGCCTGGTGGATGCCGAACACCTCTGTGGTGGAGAATGTGTGCCTCGGGCAGGAGCTGGACTCAGCCTGGCTGGAGAGTCCTAGAGGGCTGCGCCCTATGGCCAGATGTGGACAGCGTCCCTGCGGGAGTCCACACTTCATTTGGGGAGCAGGTGAGAGTCTCGGGGTCTTTTGGATCAGGGAGGCATTGCAGTTGGGGGTCATTTGGGTCCTCGACTTATCATGGGCAGTATGATGGAGAAATGCAAGAAGTGGTCAGGGAAGTGGGGGAGAAGAAGGGCTCAGCTCAGGGTCAAGCCCATACCGGGTGCTCAATAAATAATCATTAATAAATAGAAATGGACACAGAGAGGCAAGGAGTTGTGGTAGGGATTGGCAGTGAGGGGCTCCCTGACAACTGGGAGTGAGAAGACTACACTGTCTTACTCTGCCCTGCCTTGCTGGGTGACATTGATCTAATTGCTCTGGGCCATACCAAAGGGTCTGGACAGAGATGTCCAAGACACAGGATATATGCATCTGGAGCTATGGATTGGGCAGGAGCTGGCAAACTGACCCCCAGGCCAAATCCAGCCCTCCACTTGTATGTTTTGTTTTTTTTTTTTTTTGAGATGATGGAGTCTCACTCTGTTGCACAGACTGGAGTGCAGTGATGCAATCTTGGCTCACTACAACCTCCCCCTCCCACATTCAAGAAATTCTCCCGCCTCAGCCTCCTGAGTAGCTGGTATTATAGGCACGTGCCACCACACCTGATAAATTTTTGTATTTTTGGTAGAGAGAGTATCTCACCATGTTGGCCAGGCTGGTCTCGAACTCCTGACCTCAGGTGATCTCCCCATTTCCCTCAGAGTCAAAGCCCAAGTCGTGATAATCCCTGGCAAGGTCTCTGTCACCTTGCTCTGGTATCCATCATCCCCATCTCCCATCGTCATTTCCTGGCTTCACTCCAGCCTCCAGAGTCTTTGTGATGTTCCCTGATCCCCTGCAGCACACTCTGTCCCCAGGGCCTTTGCACCTGCTGTTCCCAGTGTTGGAAATCTCTCCCCACGAGTCCCCAGGCTCATCCCTCACTTCTGTCACATTCACAGAGAAGCCTTCCCTAATTACCTTATCCACCACCGCCGCCGTTGCAACCCTGCTCACGCTAGTGCGCCTTACATCGACACCTGTTTTTCCTTTCCTTTCCCTTTCCCCTTCCCCTCCCTTCCCCCTTCCCTTTTTCTCCTTTCGTTTTCTTTCTTGAGACAGTCTTACTGTGTTCCCCAGGCTGGAGTGCAGTTGCGCAGTCTCGGCTCACTGCACTCCACCTCCCAAGCTCCCACCTCCCAAGTTCAAGCGGTCCTCCCACCTCAGCCTCCTGAGTAGCTAGGATTACAGGCAGGTATCAACACGCCTGGCTCATTTTTTTTTTTTTTTTTGTACTTTTAGTAAAAATGGTGAGTATCTGGACCATGTTGTGTGACAGGACTCTCTTGACCTTGCAGAAACAGAACCTGAGACCAGCACAAGGACCCTGGAGACTCCTCTGCAGGCAGGAGGCCCGGTTTAGACCTGAGAGGTGAGTCCACCATGGTGCCACACTCAGAAAGGCACAGGCTGAAGCTGATGTAGCTGAAGGGATCACCTGCATCTCAGGCAGTTAGGGGGCAACCAACAACACTACGGATGGAGTACCTGCTCAGATTCCTCCGTGGTGCCCTGCTGAGGGATAATTCACCAACATTGGTCCAGTTGGTCAAGATGATTAGGTCCCCATAGGGCCACTTCATGGAATGAACAAATGCCTTCCAGCATGATGGATGTCTTCAAGGGGGCCGAACCAGCTTGCTGGAGTTGTCTCAGTGCTGCAGTAGAGCAGGGCTGGTTCCAAAGAAAGATCCTCCTCAGTTGTTAACCACCGTGCCAGACCCAGTCATTTATGCTTTTTAACAGGTGGGTTATGCACAGGGCTTGGGTCTGTACAGACCAGCATCACTTGTTGTTGGCCAGAATACATGGACAAAAGTCCAGGAGGAGGCCTGTGGTCCCCTCTCGGCTCCCTCCAGTCAGGACACAGCTGAGCTCACTGGCTGGAGCAGAGGGACCTGCTGCCTGCTACTCTCCCCTCATAATGAGAAGGGTCTCAGGAAGCCGAACCACAGGCCACTGCCACCAGGTGGTTCCAGCTTAAGTGCCTTCAATGGAGGGGTGCAGGGTGGCAATGATCTAAGGGGCCTCAGTCCGTGGGGATCACTGGGGCTGATCCCCCTCCCAGCTAGCCACCCTAAGGAGACCTCTCAGTCACACATTGACCAATCCCACTGTCTTCACGGTGCACAAGAATCCGAAGATAGATCAGATGGATAGGTAGTCATGTTCAAAGAAAACCTTTAGATACCTTAAGGCTGGGTATGGTGGCTCATGCCTGTAATCCCAGCACTGTGGGAGGCAGAGGCAGGTGAATCACCTGAGGTCAGGTGTTTGAGACCAGCCTGGTTAACATGGCCAAACACTGTCTCTACTAAAAATAGAAAAATTATCTAGGCATGGTGTTGCACACCTGTAGTCCCAGCCACTCAGGAGGCTGAAGCACGAGAATTGCTTGAACTTGAGAGGCGGAGGTTGCAGTGAGCAGAGATTGTGCCACTGCACTCTGGCCTGGGTGACAGAGCAATACTCCATCTCAAAAAATAATAATAACCTCTGTCAAATTTAATGTTTCTAAAGTTTTTTTTCGTTGTTTTGTTTGTGAGACAGAATCTCTCTCTGCCCCTTCGGCCGGATTGCAGTGGCACGATATTGGCTCACCGCAACCTCTGCCTTCTGGGTTCAAGAGATTCTTGTGCCTCAGCCTTCCAAGTAGTTGGAACTATAGGTGTGTGCAACCAGGCTCAGCTAGTTTTTGTATTTTTAGTAGAGACAGGGTTTTGCCATGTTGACCAGGCTGGTCTCAAACTCCTTACCTCAGTGGATCCGCCTGCTTCGGCCTCCCAAAGGGCTGGGATTACAGGCATGAGTCACAGCACTTGGCTGACAGAGGTTGAGTAAAGAATAATCCTCACATCATGCAGCCGCTGAACCAGAATATGTTGAGAGAGGCTCTAGTATAGCCACGTGGTCAAAGATGAAGGACAGAAAACAGAAGTGAGGTACATAAACAGCCAGATTGGTTGCAGCTCAGCATTTGCTTTATTTGAATGTGGTTTAAACAGTTGGCTGCCTTTGATTGGCTGAAATTCAGTGATTGACACATGACTAGGTTGCAGTCTGTTTGTGTAGGAGTCCAGATAGTTTACAGTTCACTATGTATGGGAAAATCTTTAGGCCAAACTTAAAATAGGTAAGGAGGCAGCTTTAGGCTAAACTTCATAGCAGGTAGGTAGACAAGTATATATAGATATACAGATATGAGATGAATGGGTAAATGGATGGATGGATAGATATTACCGCTATTTTTACAGCCGAGGAAACCAAGGTACGGAGGTTAAGTCAGCTCACTCATCCACAGATAAGACATTCCAAAAGTCTTCAGCATCAGGATTGTGCATAATTTATATTCTGTCAGTTGGACTGACAAATCTGATGGTAAACAGTAGGGGCAAAACAACTGCACCAAAGCTTAAGCCAAAATGAAAATTCTGACAACAGGATGGGTTTAGCGGCTTATGCATGTAATCCCAGCACTTTGGGAGGCTGAGGGGGCAGATTGCTTAAGCTCAGGAGTTTGAGAACAACCTAGGCAAAATAGCACAACCCTGTCTCAAAAAAGAAAAAAATAAAATTTTGAGAACAGAGTTCCAATGGTGGGCAAATTAAGTTTATCCTGTGAAATGGCATCAGAAGAATGGGCTTGCTTGACTCTGGGGTAATAGATGGCATTTAGGTGGGTACCATACAGGGAGAAGGGAAGTGTGATGTCAGTATTCTGTTGAGTGAAAGACTAGAGAGTATACCCTGAGCTCAGTGGCTATCAATGGGCCTGAGGGTTGGGCACATACACCCCACCATTGGGAGAGACACTGACTTCATCTTTATTTCCTCTAAACAACAGGTCCATCAAGTCAATCCTTGAGAAGGACCACACCACTTCATTAACCCAGACGGCAGTTCCTCTAGATGACCATGACAGGACAGCCTGGCCAACGGGAAAGGACAGCATGCAATATGGCAGGGTAAGCACCAGCTTGGTCCACCCACTGCTGCCACCCCCAGCAGCCCAAGTCCTCCCACCAGATGTAGCAGTTGGCAGTGGTGATACTCACCTTTCTTGAGCACCTACTATGTGTCAGTAGAATTCTAGAACTTCATTTTGTTAATCCTCACAACCACTCTAAAAATAGACTTTAGACATACATAAAAAGTCTTTTAAAATTTATTTTTGAGAGAGTGGCTCACTTACCCAGCCTGGACTGCTGTTCACTTGCAGCCAAGTTAAAAGACTTCTCTGTCCTCATAGCTAGCCTGGGACTCAAATCTAGGCCAGTCTAACTCTGAAGCTTGTAGTGTTTCTCCTTTTCTATACTGCTACCTACCTCCACCCACCTACTTATCCATCCCTCCCACTCATTATTCATACCATCCATTCACCCACCCACCATCCATCCATCCCACTGACTCATTTATCCATCATCCCACCTACTTCTTTATCCAACCCATCCATCTAACCCAGCTAACCATTCCCTCACCTACACATCTGTTTAGCTGTTCATCCATTCATTGCTCTTTCCATCCATTCACTCATTCATCCACACACCTACCTACCCACCCACTTACTCATTTATTCATCCACCCACCCCCTCATTCATCCAGCAAACACATATATAATGTCCACTATGTGCCAGGCTAAGTCTGGGGAGATTGGATACTAGTGAGGATAGATGGAGAGAAAATAATTAGGCTAATAAGCAGACGATATCTGATAAAAAAAAGAAAATGAAAATGATCAGCAGCAGTGGGTCACGCCTATAATCCCAACACTTTGGGAGGCTGAGGCAGGAAGATTTGGCCTCAAGCAGAGTTCAAGGGTGCAGTGAACCATGATCATGCCACTGCATTCCAGCCTGGGTGACAGAGTGAGACCCTGCCTCTTAAAGAAAAAATGATGAAATGGAGACCAACTGTTTTGAGATGCAGTTTTACTCTTGTCACCCAGGGTGCAGTGCAGTGGCGCAATCTCGGCTCGCTGCAACCTCTGATCTCAAATTCAGGCGATTCTCCTGCCTCAGCCTCCCAAGTAGCTGTGTATCCGCCACCACGCCTGGCTGATTTTTGTATTAGTAGAGATGGGGTTTCACCATGTTGGTCCAGGGTGGCCTCAAACTCCTGACCTTAGGTGATCCACCCACCTCAGCCTACCAAAGTGCTGGGATTGCAGGTTTGAGTCACCTGTTTGGCTGGAATTTCCCCTAAGAGCAAGAGATAGCGATGGACAGGCAAGTGATAAGACATGATTAGATTGATGTTTTCAACAGTCCTGTCTGGCTGCAGCTGTGCATGGAACTTCAGATTTGTAGGAGCAGCATTCTAAACCAGTGGCTGAACCTCTTTGTGCCTCAGTTTCCTTATCTGTGAAATGGAGGTTATTACTAGCATAGATGCATGCCTGACCCATGGTGGGTGTTCAAGAAAACCCTTCTGGATGGGTGTGGTGGCTCACACTTGTAATCCAAGCATTTGGGGAGGCCGGGGAGGGAGTATTGCTTGAGGCCAGGAGTTTGAGATCAACCTGGGCAACATAGCGAGACTCCATCTCTTTAAAAATATGAAAATTAACAAGGCATGGTGGTATAAAACCATAGTCCCAGCTGTTTGGGAGGCTGAGGTGGGGAGATTACTTGAGCCTAGGAGTTCAAGGCTGCAGTGAGCCATGATTGTGACAGTGTACTCCAGCCTGGGTGACATGGGCAATGAAGCAAGACCCTGTCCTAAAAAAAGAAATAATGCTGGGTGCGGTGGCTAATGTAATCCGAGCACTTTGGGAGGTTGATGGGTGCGGATCATGTGGTCAGGAGATCAAGACCATCCTGGCTAACACAGTGAAACCCTATTTCTACTAAAAATACAAATAAGTAGCCAGGTGTGATGGCATGTGCCTGCAGTCCCAGCTACTTGGGAGGCAGAGGCAGGACAATTGCTTGAGCCTGGGGGTGGAGGTTGCAGCTAAGTCTGCACCACTGCACTCCATCCTGGGTGACAGAGTGAGACCCTGCCTCAAAGACAAAAAAAGGCCTCATATCCCACTATGGGGCTATCACTCAGGTAGCTTGTTTTGGCCAATGGGACACCAGCAAACATAAGGCCAGCCAAAATAATACTGCGAGACGCACATGGAAGTTTGTATGCTCTTGTGCCCCTGTCATTGCCATGACAACATGCCCAAGCTGGTCTGCTGGAGAATGAGGAACACACTCGTACCCTTCTTGCCCCACCTGAGGCCAAGTAGATCAGCTGATACCCAGCTGATCTTGAGACATGATGTGACCCCAGCCAAGATCAGCAGAGCCACCTGCCTGACTGCCCTTGCCAGGGAGCAAAGATCACTGCTTTATTGTTGAACTTGTGGTTGGTTGTCATGGAGACGGATAACCAAACCAGAACCAGGCACTAACAATACCAAAGTAGGATGCCAGAAGTTCCCCTGCTGTGCTAGGCATTAATGCTGTAGTTGCTGGGTCATGGACAGATCTCCAGTATCCTGGGAGAAGGACCAAGACAGCTGGGGACTTGGGGGACTCAGAGCAGTGCTAGTGACCAAGTGGTACAGAAGCCTTTCTATAGCTTAACAACTGATAGCCACTGTCAACTGAACGGGGCTGGTGTGTATAAAAGGAAATGCGTTGTCTGTCCTGATTATTATACCTAATAATAATGGTATGGTACATTATTATTATTATGGTACAAAGAGCCTGGATTAAGACTCATTTTACAGATACAGAAACTGAGGCTCCAAAAGGTGAAGGGACAAATGGGTCATCCGCAGCACAGCTGGGACTCAAATCCAGGTCTGACACATCTGGACAGAATCGTCAAACATCCCCACCCAGGTGGCACCTAGGAGACCTTATCTGGTGTTCCTCAGTCTACCCCCTCCTACCTGAGGTTCTCTCCACCTTCTGGGCACTCGTGGTCCAGCTTATCAGGAAGGGCTGACATGAAGTCCTTCAGGTGAGCCAGCTCCAGGGACATCCAGACTTCATCAAGTACTAGCTGAACAGGTCCCAATTCATGCAGAAGGAACCCAAAAACAAAACAGGGTCCTGTTCAGAGAGGAGACAGTGGTGGCATGTGATGCCTATGTCACAATGACATGGACAGAGAAGGGGTGAGACATAAAGACTCTGGCCAGGACTGGTGACGGGTGGGGTTTCAGAGCTCCTTGGAATCACTGTTTCTGGTGATGTTATTAACAAGAAAAAGGCCAGATACAGTGGCTCATGACTAATCCCAGCACTTTGGGAGGCCGAGGTGGGCACTTCACTTTAGGTCAGAAGTTAGAGACCAGCCTGGCCAACGTGGCGAAACCCAATCTCTACTAAAAATACAAAAATTAACTGGGCATGGTGGCATATACCTCTAGTCCCAGCTACTTGGGAGGCTGAGGCAGGAGAATCACTTGAATACTCGAGGCGGAGGTTGTACTGAGCAGAAATCAGGCCACTGCACTCCAGTCTGGGTGACAGCAAGACTGTCCCCCTGCGAAAATAAATTCCTTAATAATGGAAAAAAGTCTGGAAAATCTTAGTGTGGCAGAATAAGACGGATTTCCTTTCCATACAACTTCCTAGAGCCTTCAGTATGCATGTGGGTTGAGAAACTTCAAGAAGTGAGAGGTAAATCCTAATGGTAAAGTCCTGTGTATTTCTGTCCTCCAACTTCAAAAGAGAATCTTATATGAAACTTTAGGGAAGATTACACTAGAAGGCAACATATTAAGGAATCCACCTGCAGGGGTTGATCTAGAAAATCCTTATTTTGGCCAGGCATGTGGGCTTACTGCTGTAATCTCAGCACTGTGGGAGGCTGAGGCAGGCAGATCACCTAAGATCAGCAGTTTGAGAACCAGCCTGTGTAACGTGGTGAAACCCTGTCTCTACTACAAATACAAAACTAGCCAGGCATGGTGGTCTGCACGTGTAATCCCAGCTACTTAGGAGGCTGAGGCCGGAAAATCACTTGAACCCAGGAGGCAGAGATTGCACCACTTCACTCCATCCTGGGAGACAGAGTGAGACTCTGTCTCAAAAAAAAAAAAAAATCCTTTTTTATTACCAAATACTGTGTGTTCTCACTTTTAAGTGGGAACTGAACTCTGCATACTTATGGATATAAAGATGGGAACAACAGAACCAGAGCCTCCAAAAGTAAAGAGAGATGGAGGAGGGTAATGGCTGAGAAACTCTCTCTCAGGTACCCTGTTCAATATTTGTGTGATGAGATCCATAAAATCCTAAGGGTCAACATTACACAGTATACCCATGTAACAAGCCTGCATGTGTACCCCGTGACCTAAAATTAAAAACATTCTTATTTCTTGTCTAGCTCTTAGAAGGGGTAAAGATTCTCAGTCTGACTGTGACAGCAGAGAGAGGACCATGTCTTTTTGGATTTTCTAGATGCTCAGAAAACTACCACTTGCAGGGACAGGAAGCCAGGAGTGATAGATACTCAGTGATTTTCCACATTGTTAATCATGTGCTAAGAGGAAATTCAGGGAAGCAGCAGCATAGCCTAATCAATAAAAATAATGAAAGCCGGGTGCGGTGTCTTACGCCTATAATCCCAGCACTTTGGGAGGCCAAGGTGGGTGGATCCTTTGAGCCCAGGAGTTTAAGAGCAGCCTGGGTAACATGGTGAAACCCATTTCCACAAAAAATACAAAAACAAAAAACTGGATATGGTGGCATGTGCCTGTAGTTCCAGCTACTCAGGAGGCTGGGGTGGGAGAATCGCTTGAGCCTGGGAGGTGGACGGAGGTTGCAGTGAACAGAGATTGCATGGACACGGATTTCAGGGGAAAAAAAAAAAAGTAGGGTCACATGTGTTTGTCCCAAAACTAAACATACATCACTGTTAGTGCAATCATTGGGCATGTCACCCCTGGCTCACCTCCTGGGTGGCACCCAGACCCCACCTGGGGGATGATGGTGATCTTGAAGCAGAGGTTATGCAGGCC